GGGCCGGGGATGTTTTCTAAAGACAGATGCTAAGGCACCCACCTTGAACCTCACATGGACTGGCCCGATGTTAGGAAAATTCGTTGTATAGCTCTTCGTCAAAGGCATCCGAATCGGGTCCTTCAGCGGAGAGCAGCTCCACCCACAGGGGTTTTTCAAATTTGTCACACATAAAGAAAGCATTGTGCTCTGCCTGCACACACTGTTCAATATCCCACCAATCCAGGGTAGTAAATCGTTTCAGTTGCTCACACCCGCTGAAAGCACGGATGCCTATGTCACTGAGCTCTGTCGGGATGACCACTTCTTGGAGCACAACACAATTAAGGAAAGCTTCTTTGCCAATTTGCGTGAGTCGCGGTGGAAGCCATATGCAATTTAAGGCTACACAGTGGGCAAAGGTGGAATGGAGTAGGGCTGTGATTTCTGTGCACATGAGGTTGACCTCCACAAGTCCTTTGCAGTTTTCACAGGCCCGTGGCCCGATATTGTGAAAGTCACCTGGCAAACAGAGCTGTTCAATGCCTGCTCCACAGAATGCACCTTCAGGCAGCGCTCGAGGTTTATTGGTGTGGTCCATGACCGAAGGCATGAAAGATGGCTGGTCGCATACGATTGCGTGGCAATGCACTGGCCTGGAAAAGATGTTCCCCTGGCAGTGATGTGGCAGTGCATGGCCCTTCTAACATTGGGATCACTGACAGGATCCCCTGTTCGAAAGTGGCCCTAGCCCAACTAGTGAGCCATGGGGTTCGCTCTCCCCCACCGGGTGAGCGCATTTGGATGGGATTGTCGCGGCCATCTGATAGTGCCGCCAGGACCGAGCTCACTGGTGTTCGTGACAGGGCAGGGCCAGAAATGCTTACGCGTGTATAGGCCATAAAGTGACCACACTATGCACAGGTCAAGGGCAGTTTGCATTGGTACTCCAACAAAGGGAGTGAACATAGTCCCGTTAATGGCGGCCTCACTCGGATTAATCGGTGGCTTGGCTCGAGAGACTAGTGCAAGGCGGCACGCTTGGAGGCTTTTTGCCAGCGCCGCAGCGCTAGTCTCGTGTTCCATTGGGCTGCTCTTGTGGCGGTTGCCTATCGAGATGACCAAACCTGCATTGTACTCCAAGTGAGCCTCTGTGAAGAGCAGCGTGCCAATTCCTGAGCAGGAGCGAGACAGGGGTCGCGCGCACCCTATCAGGTCAATCCATTGGTGCTGCTGGTGAGCCAATTGTAGTAGGTCTTGCACTTCGAAGAGTGTGACCGGTACACAATCGTTGTCAATGAGTGCAAAGTGCTGAGCAGGGTACAGAAAGCGGGCTGCTTCTAAGACAAGAACTCCTGTTCAATAGTAGGGAATCTTGTGAAGGCCAGTAGTAGCATCCGCACAAACCCAAAGTACTTCAGTTGCCTCTTCTTGGGGGCCCACTAGGCACCGGCGCGAGGCCCACCATGCTGCAAAGGCCGGCCAATGAGGGACCTCTGCAGGCGGACGATTATCAACGATCAAATAGATCATATGATTATTCATGATGAGCTCTCGATGTAACATGAGTGTATGTATAATGGCGGTCATGTCTGGTAGGTCTCCTTCTGCCTCCTGTGTGTCATATCCTTCGTCCTGTTTGGGCGGCTGTGCACGAACATCTGACAACACCAGGGTAGGTCGAGCAGAGTCTAGGCCAAAGGGACTACTAGGGCAATCAGGCATTGCCAAGGCTGCGTATGCCTCTGCTTGGACCTGCGAAACACTAACCGCAGTGCCCTGGGCAAAGAGAGCATGGCCAGCTTCTGGGAGCCAGTCCGCAGTGGCCTGTGTGAAGGCTATAGGCACATGAACCCTATCATCCATGCTATCGTTGAGGTCCAATGGATTGTCCTCCACCTCCCAGGGATCTTGTGACATTAGGTTTACTTAGCTCGAAAAGGCTAGTGCAGTCCCCACCAACTAAGGTTGGCAGTTGCACTGGCAGGCGCGAGCGAGGGGGAAGGCGGCTCGGGTGACGTCAGCTAAGGCTGACCCCACTCCTGCATGCATGGTGCAAGGACCAGCTGTGAGCCAAATATTACGGCGCGATGCAACTGCAGAGAAACGGCTGAGCTCCCAAAACAGCTAGGGATTACTTCTCAAAGAACCAGAATCTTTATACAAGCAGGAAAAGGACCAAGTGCTCCTGCGCCAACAGCATGTCACATGGACTGCGTCCCCTATGCCTATTGTTCATGGTCGTTTGCCTGAGGGTGCAAGAGGGAGAGTAACCAGGCAACGTATACGAGGCCACACAGCTGAGAATGCAAGTCGGTAAGGGGGGTGAGAAGGGCACCTTGCACATCATGTGGCATGTAGTCAACAGTTTGTTCAATGTCATGCACCAAAGCATGAAAGCCTTGCACCCTGGCGTGGAGAGCTGATTCAATCTGATGGTGTGTGCGCTCTACATGACGTTGAGGGGGCGCCTGTGCCATTGACTGTGTATCCACGCGGAGTGCATGTGGCTGCTGCCTGTCAGTAACCGTCCAAAATCCTGCGCGCCGTGGGAGCGAGCCTGGAAAGGGGCGCGTTTGCAAGAAGGCTTCGAGAGGGTCCATGTTTGTTGTGATTTCCCTGGCTGGCACCGCATTTGCCAGTACAGTGAGAAGATGATCTTCATGGTGCTGTATATGCAGGATCATTCTGCGGACCAGAGTTCTCCTTGTGCCATATGTGGTAGCTCCCCTAGTGTTGATGGCATGGTGGAATGATGGTTCCCTCTACTGTGGCCCTAAGCTTAAGCAATGCCGGCGGGAAGTGAAACCCCTCCGTCCATTCTGGGAAAGTGGGCTTGACGTTTTCCTTGACTGTGTCCACCGGAAAGAAATGCAGCAAATAGCACTGTGCACGATGTCCTTTATAGGAAAATTGTACAATGAGGTCCAAAACTCCATAGCGTATGTCATCATGGTTGAGCTCAAAACGTACAAAATTTGTGACATCGACATAAGTGCCGTCGTCTGCTAACAGCAGGGGTTCTTGCTGTAGCTGCATGGCTGGTCTTTCAGGCTCCTCTTGTCCTCTTTGCTTTCGTGGCACAGCCACAGCGTGCGTAAGCGCAAACTGGGCTCCTAAGCTGCAGAAACCAGTCGGCTGGTGCCTCGCGGCTAACGCTCTGAGCCAAAGGTCTGCAAACACCAAACTGCATAGCCATGTTCAAGGGATTCTTTCCCGAAGCAAGGGAACAAGGACAACAGGTTCCCCGGGGATTTACTGGACCGGGCATTTCTTAGGGTGCACGAACACACGCTGAGGGGGGTGGTGTTCACTTGCCCCGTCGTCCCCAATGTAACGTTGACTGCGCCCGTGAGGGGGATGCTGTTGCTCTGGGTCTCTGCTGCAAGCAGCCTGGCTGTCAGGCTGGCCCTCTCCAGGCTCTGTTATTGGTAGCATCGTCCCTGCATTGATGTTGGGAGTGGGTAAGTCTTTGCTCGTAGTGGCTGCCCCTACCGCAGCAGTGTCAGGGATACTCGTAGCTTGCGAGAGCACTGCAAGGAGCTTCTCATGAGTTGGGTCCACTTTGGGAGCGTGCTTGGGAGGACGCAATGGCACTCCTGGAGGAGACCTCTTTGGCTGGGCACAGCTGGCTGCCTTCCAGTACGGGGGGGCCTCCTCTCTCAGCATGGGGCCAATGTGACCACCTGTCTGTAGTCCCGCTTTGACCGGGGCAGGAGAGGCCTGGGCAGTTCCATACCCTGACTGCTGAAAAAGGGGGCGTTGATCCGCCAGCGACAGTAGGAGAGCATCAAAAAATTCGGCAAGCGGTAGCCGCATACGCAAGACAATTTCCACTTGTGGCCGGCCGTCAGGGCCATGAGTGAGAGAGCACTGATGGGGGCCAACAATGAAGGGGAGGGCCATTGAGCGAAGACTGTCGACGAGAGTTCACTACTTGCTACGAGGAGACCTGAGCGCAACTACTGACCTTCGAGCCCGAACAGCCGCAGGCTCAGCACCTCACACAGTATCTGAGAAATCGAAACAACCCAACAGGAAAGACCAATACCGAACCTAGTATAGCCAGTGAAGTTACCAAATGACTCAAGTAGGAGAATATGCCAGTTGACCAGCTAAGTGGAAAGAGTTATCAGTGCACTTATCCCTCTGCATCCCCTTAGTGTGTGGGCGACCCGCCAGTGAGAAAGCTCGTTACGTTGCGGTACTCTGTGTGTCTTTCAGGGCACCCAGAATCGTGTCCATCTCGTTGGCAAGCGTCCAACACGCATTGGCCCCAGGCTGAACACAGAGATGCTGCCGGTTGCTGTGTATGTTCTGTAGGGTGCGTTGGATGTCGCACGCCAAAGCGCGCACATTTCGTGCACGAGTGATGAGTTCTCGACTAAGACGTGCAAACAAGATGTGTGAACCATGTGTAGGCACATTCGCATTTTCGGCAAAAAACAATTCGGGCGAATCACCATCTTGTTTGACCTACCATTTGTGCGACAAAGTTCAGTCTATGAAATTTGCTGTACATGTGGTGTGCGTAATTACTTGGTTTTTCTTTGCGCGTGACTACCTGCTGGTGAGGTCACCCTAAAAGGGGACGATGTTTTCAAAAATTGCCCACAACTGTGTCAAGTCTGCATCGCTGCACTTTGTCCGTGAACGAAACTCTGAGGGCGCCAAGCTGCAACTGGCAGAAAGTATTGCAAATCAGATGACGACAGGGCAGGAACACATGAGGAGGCCGCCGAATGCCTCGAGTGGTGCACTTCCGAAACTGGAGATTGTTCCGTGCAATGCAGACAAATGTGTGCAAGTTACCATTCGGGGAATTTGCAAATTTTTAGGTTGGAGGAAATCGCTTTTAGGTTGGAGGGTACATGTTGGTGCATGACATGCATCAGACGTTTTCGGACCACGTGGTCGTTCACATCGGTGTCCAAAAAGAGAAACGCTAACAGACATTCGTTGCATTCTTTCCCGCCGTTCCATTCATGTGGCGGCCATTTGTGCACACCCATCCAAACTTCAGCTGCTTCAGCTTCAATTTAGTTTGAAGAGACCATTGGTTTCTGAGTCCGTCAGAAACTGTAGATTGAATCACGCCATGGCTTGCCAGGGCCTCGACTAAATTAAAAATCAATCGGAACATAAAGTGCCTTTGCTTGAAGTGATGGCCTCCAACCTACTAGCTTCTTGCTCCTAGTAGTAAGGCCAGGAGAGCCCCTAGTAGCGTCCTGGTTCCTAGTAGCGATGCACTTTGCTCCTAGTAGCAAGAAGGTTGTAGCAAGCCTTGGCAAACCTGAATTCTTTGGAGGCATGGCATCACCCGTGGCAATCCGCCATCCATCACCGGCCGCAAACTGAGTGGATTGGCCTCCAACCTAAGGACGCTGCTAGTAACAATTGTTTTTTGGAGTTACCAGCGATGGCCTCCAACTGGCGACCAGCAAGGTTCTGACCATGGTGAATGTTGTCACAGTGCCAAAGAGCCAGGCCGAGTTTGTGGGTTTTGCAGCTTTGCATACTTGTAGTAACAAGAAGCTAGTAGTAACAAGTGCCACGCTACTAGGAACAAGTGCCTTACTTGTAGTAACAAGAAGCTTCTCGTTCTTCTCAACTTTTCTGAAGTTCTGTTTCGTTGGGACAGATTGTTCAGACGAAACTTTCGTACATTGACTGCACAGATTCGTCAAGACAAACCTGGTTAGATTGGTTGACAGGTTGGCTCAGGTTGACCGTGCCAGGCACCACAAATCCATGTGCCAGTTTCACCTGTGCCAAGCGCACGCAGCACAGCCTTACCGCAGCGAGATCCTGAGATACTTTTCTCGTTTTTTTCGGCAAACACCGAATCAAACACAGTGTTTCTTCTCTTCATGCACCAGGCCATATATCCTTGTGACTGAAGTCGGCTGAGGCGTAGTCCCCATGCAATGAGCAACAAGACTCTGGGCCTCAAGCCGAGTGCAAGGCAACAACTCCCCTTTTTCGACAGGTAGAATGAGTTCCTTTTTTCTTTGTTTTTGCGGGTAGGCCGCTAGTAGAGGTAGAAAGTAGCTAGTAGTAGCTAGGTAGTCGCTAGTAGCTTACTTACGCAACAAGTACGGACGCAGGATAGCTCACGCTCCAATGAATTGGTTTCTAGGTTTTAGGGAAACTTAACTGATAGCGATGGCCTCCAACCCAGTAATAGCTTCTAGCTACTAATTAGTAGTAATGCCTTTGTTACTAGTAGCGATGCCCTTGTTGCTAAGCAGCTAGAAAGAAGAAGAGTTCCACCTTTAATTTTATCACTTTTTCATCCGGGTGGCGCAGTTGATTTCTTTGAGGTCACTACATTCTTGGAAAGACCATTGGCCTTGATCCAAGCATTTGCCATCCTTTGTCCTTAGCAAGCCCCAACCTAACTGGTGGCTTTTGAACAGATTAGAAGGAATCGAAGAAACGGATGTGTATATATATATGAATTAGCTCTGACGCGCAATACACGTGTGTATCCAATATTAGGATGTCATACATAAATTATCCAAATAATGGACATTTGTTCAGCAATGCTACAAGGCCTTGATCTGGTTTTCTTTACTCTGTGATCTTCGCAGTCACTGCCTCTACAGAGTATAGTTGCAAATAGCGATGGCCTCCAACCCAATAGCGATGGCCTCCAAAACCTACTGGCCATGACCTCCAACCTACTAGCGATGGCCTCCACCTAATAGTGCCTCTATAGTTTTTGCATCAAAATATCGAAAGGGTTTCTGCTCGTCTTAGCTTCGAACCTTTCTTTATGACGCCCGAAGCGTGTTGCGTGTGGCACTTGCCAATGCCAGACATGTTAGAGAAAAGAAAGAGGGAACCCTCCCTCCCTCCCTCCCTCCACCCTACTAGCGATGGCCTCCAACCTAATAGCGACATGCTGCCCTGGACTTCGGGTGAGTCGGAAGCGAGTCAAGGCGAAGGCACCTTTGGCAAGGTGAAGCTGGGAAGGCGAAGTGATCCGTTTCTGCCGTAAGAATGCTCCTAGTAGCGATGCCAGGAGCCCCTAGTAGCTTCTTTTTCGTGAGCGACACCAAATGACATGCATTTTCAGCCTACAGAACCAAATGAGAATAATTAGTGCCTGAGCTGTCCTGCGTCCAGTTACTAGCAGCGTCTTCGTAGCTGGGAGCGTCCTATCGCGGTGACGAGGCACATCTTGACGGGTGAGCGAGTGGCGGTGAAAGTCTTGGAGAAGGATCGGATCCAAGAGGTCGCGCTCCAAGCTTGGACCTTTCTTTTTTGGAAACTAGTAGGTTGGAGCTAGTAAGGTTGGAAACTAGTAGGTTGCAGGCCATCGCTCTTAGGTTGGAGGCCATTGCTCTT